AGTCCTCAGGTAGGTCTGCATTCAATGGGAAGAGCATGTCACCTCATCTTCTCTTAGCATGGCCAGTGCCACATGACAGGATGAGAGGCAGGCACGGGCCAAGAGAAATCTAGCACCCCTCTGAGCCCGGTAAGTTGACTGAGAATAGTTAGTAGAATTGGAACAATAATAGAAAGTTGCCTCACTCAAGGCAGATGCTGTCATTCTTAAATGTTACGACCACCAATTACCTCACACATACGTATGAGATTATGTCCACAGAATAATAAAGCTTTCTTTCTTTTTTTTTTTACTACACGAATCAACCAGAAAATTCGCTTTTTTGCTCTCAAAACGAAGTAGCTTAGTTCCTCATTAACAAAGGGGAAATTCTAGTCATGAGTGACAAAACACTGTTACTAAAGGTGGCTGCCTTGTTGTGCCTGGTCCGGGGGGACATTCTCCTAGTCAGACTCCCGAAACCAAGACCAGCAAGACTCGGTGACATGGGCACCTAGATGACAAGACATAATGGCTTCTAAAGCTCTTTCAGTCATTTCCAAAATTCTAATTGGCCTTCAAAGATGTGTTAGCAAAGAAGGTTTTCAAAAGAATTTTGAAATTGAATTGCTAAAGGCAATTCCAAAAACAAAACTCTCCAACTTTATACTCACCTTGAATAATGAGACAGGCAGAAAGAAAGAAACGGAAATACATTAAGACTTCTGGATAGGAAAATGTGACTGACACTCAGACAATACATGGCTGCTATTTCACCCCACTCACTTTGATGAAAAAGCGATGCTGATTTCCACCACCAAAAATCAGCGGAACAGACAAATTCCTAGGATAACATTTTGTTTGATCCTATTCAACCACATCTGTAAGATTAAGGCAAAAAGAACAAAAGAAAAGAAATTGCACCAGAATCTTAATATTAATTTTCTACCTTCTACCCTTCTTCTCCTTTGAAAAAAACATTTCCAGCATCTCAGTATAAATACAGACCTTGATTATTTATTCATTACAGAGAAATAAAATTCTGATACATGCTACAACATGGATGAACCCAGAAAACATCATGTGCTGGGTGAAATAAGTCAGCTAGAAAAGACAACAGTGTATGATTCTACTTCTATGAAACAGAAAAAACAAATGCATGAAAACCAAAGGGTTTACCAGCAGCTGAGAGGAGAAAGGAATAGGGAGTTTCACTTTAGAAAAGGCACCGAATTTCCTCGGTCTGAGGGATGAAAGTTCCAGAAATGGATCATGAGTGGTGGTCGTGGTGTAACACGGGACAAACTGTTACAGCATCATACCCGTTAAAATGGCAACTTCTGCCAGGACAAAGAGTCGAGAGAGCAACGCTTGAGAATCAGAAAAGGCTGTGCTGGAGTCCTAAGGAAAAGGCAGGGATCAAGATCCAGAAAGCGAAAAGCACTCCTATTTCAACCGGCTTTTATTTCTAACAAAACAAAATACAAATGGGCGGGGATCCCTGCCATTTTGAAGTCAAACTAGTTCCCAGTTAACTGTTGTTAAATACACAGCACTTATCTGTCTTATTGAAAGAAAAAAAAAAACCCCATGAATTACAAACACTAAGCTGGTTCCCACTCTTGGACACTGGAAAACTACATTCATTCCCAAAAATTGTTTTCTTCCTAATGCCCCGTAGGGGGCACTAGAGAGGTATGATTGGCCCTGATTTGGGAATCACAGTCATTTCTGGTAAAAGTTCTTTGATGTAAGGAATGTCCCAGCCTGGTACAGTTGGCAAAAGTTCACTCTGGGGAATTTTGTGTGTGTGTATGTGTTTTCTGGGAGGGGAAGGTTGCTGAAGAAAAGATCAGATCTAGTCTGGTATTCCTTGATTCCAAAAAGGAAATAGCCTCTTTGATTTATTTTTTATTTATTTTTCACAAGTTATCTGAGAAGTAGACAAATGGCAGCCTTGGAAAACTTCTGAGTCTTGTTTTTGTTGTTTTTTTTTTTTTTTTACAAAAAGGGGGCCCAGCTGATGAAAACAAGTTATGAAATGACCTATGTTTGTGTAACTGGCTGGATTACGTAATGCTCAGGCGCTGAAACCGTAATAGTCAAGCAGCCAGGCAGGGCATATATCTGGGAGGTGTTTTCCTAGCAAAGTTAGGAGAGAGAAAACAACACCAGCAAAAACCCAAGAGGGAGAGCTACGGGGTACAGCAAGTTTAAAGACAAAACCAGAAACATCCATCTTTGAGATTAAAACTATATGCTAACCTTTGAGATTAAAACTACAACTGGAACAGGAAATATTATTCATGCTTCAAGTTCCACTCAGATTCAAGAACCAAAGCTTTAAAGAAATTATCCGTATCTTCCCCAGAGTCACTCCGACTCACAGCTATGTGTTATGATCAAACTTTAAGCAGATAAAGAGGTAAAGAAGGTCTGAGATGAACAGAGTTTTCTTAGGAATAGTGGCTCCCAAAAAGAAAAATATTAGAGGGGGAAAAGAATATCCCCTCACCCAAGAGAAAACGAGGAAACCAGTGTACAATCACTGGGCCACTGAGATGCCATGAAAGAAAAGGCCTATCCAACTAGCTTCCCTGAAAGACTCTCCATGAAAGAAGCTGACGAGAATAAAGAGATTACAGGTTTTATCTGGTATGTAATAAAGTTACCTTGATCCCAAATTTGGGAGGAGTCCTCATAGTACAGACTTGTGAAGTAACAAAAGCCTCCCAGGCAGTCCTGAGCACTACAGCTCAGCTCAAGGTTGGATAGATGGAAAAATCCCACCCCAGCCTCCAAGGAGTGGGCTGGCTGTGAAACTTGTCTAAAGTGGTGCTCCCTTGCCAATTCCTCTGGTTTGAAAGAAGCCTCACTCCCACTGCTGGGCCCAGGAGTAGGCTTCTATACGAGAACCCCCGCGCACTGCTTATTACTAATTGCAAAATCTTCATGTGTTGCAGCTTGCTAGGAATTAGCCAACAGCTGCTTTTTGCTTCGGTAATGAGTCCCCATTACACTCTGCTGGACTCAGTCCTCTTCCTTCTTCCTAGCTCTGGTTTCCTGTCTGATTTTCTTCCAAAACAGGGAATTGCCTCGGCTCACATCCTGGGCTCAAAGCCCTAGTGACACAGATTTATTCAGTCAGTGCACTGATGTCCGGCCTAACTTCCCGCACGGGCCCCAGGGTGAAGCCAGGTAGTGAGACTAATATTTAAATGCTCATCAACACAGAAACAGCAGCTTAAACATGAGGGAATAAATCAAATGATCCTTTCCGGATGATATGGGGAAGAGGAGAGGGACTATCTGGGGCTTGGAGACTCAGGGAATGGGCATTAAGGGTCTCCAACCCATTGCATAAAGATGTTTAAATCCAACAAAAACCATCAATATGACTGGAAAGAAAAAAAAAAAAGTAAAGCCCCAAAACACAAAGTCAGTTTTAGGATAAGGCTTGTAACGCATCACCTTTATAATATTAAAAGTACAATGACTGCTCCCTCAGTACATAGACACAAAAACTGCAGTAGGTGATTTCTGGAGGCACCAGGGTAGAAAAAATGGCCCAAAGGTTTGGCTGCTAAGAGAAAGGTTGGCAGTACAACCCATTCAGCAGGTCTGAAGGAGAAAGACCTGGCTGTCTTGCTCAAACATTACAGCCTAGAAAACCCTAGGAGGCAGTTTTACTTCATCACATGGGGTGGAAAATCTACTCCAGAGCACCTAACAACAGGGGGAGGTAGAGGAAAGGCACAGAGAAGCTATTTTTCAGAAATCACCAGGTTGGGGAGGGGGGAGGAGAAGGGGAATCACTCTAGAACAAGGTATCCTTTCTCAGGTCCAAAAGAGTGGCATGTTTCCATTTTCTTTCCCCACTCGGTCTACCCCTCCCTAGGAGCCCACCTACCCTAGCCTCTCCTGGCTTCTAGGGACCCCGACCCGTGTCTTACCCGAGCAACTGTCACAGCACAAACCGGCTGGCTAGCGACTCCACAGATCCTGGCCAGGCTGGGCTGCAGACTGAAGTGGGATCCGGGGTTAACCCAGCTCGCTCACAAGCCCGGAACAGGGATCTGCTGCGAGGACAGGCAGCTAGCCCCACCCGACAGGCACCCCACCACCACCCCACAGCACCTTCCTGGTATTTATAGACACCGAGAGCACGCACGATCCGTCCAGTGCAAACCAGTCCGGCTGCTTTAGAAACAAGTTGTTTTTCCGCTTCCAGAACCACCCAGGAGCCTGAGTGATGTCTCTTTCCCCCACTTCTCTAGTCTGTGCCTTCCCGCCCCGGGTATCCCCAGTTCCTCAAGACACCCGCCCCCCCTTCCCGTGGGCAGTTCAGGCTCTCTGTGGCCGGTGAAGAGGATGGGTGCGGGTCACTCATAGGCGGTCACGGGAGCCAATCAAGGCTGGCCTCCTCCTTCCTGACCTTCGCACCTGATTCTGAGCAGGGCGACCCTCTACCTCACTCCGGATTACTTGAATGAGCCCGATCATGTTTCCAAGTCCCAGACTGCCTCAGAAAAGAGCTATGAAGACACAGTACGGGAGAAGGGGGGTGAGAGGGAAGGGGATCTTCCCACAGGAATATGAGACCCTTGATATTAGAAGGTACCAATGGAGGCAAAAATTTTCTGATTTTCTTATCTGTCCACTACGGGCAGGGGTGAGAGTAGTGGTGGAGGAGGGATTGGAGAGAAGTGTTCCAGGGAAAGGTGGGAGGGATCAAGCTCCTGGAAAAGGGGCACGCACATCCAGAAGAGGAGATGGTCTGGATAAGACAGAGTGGAAAGGATTTGTTGGCTCGTCAAACACCCCCTTCCCAATACTAGCTTTAAAATTTAAAAAGTGAGGGGGACCATAATATAAAAATTCAGAACTTGGAAACATAGATAATGGTTTTCTCGCAAAATTAAATAAATAAATAAATAAAAGGAAAAGAAAGAAAAAAGGTAGTGTTGGCGAGAGGAGCGCGGAGTCTGTGCGTAGCCAGGTGCACGGGGGCCGCCACCTACCTGCTGGCCGCCGCCGCCGCTGGAGTAGGATTCGGCGTGCGCAGGAGATCCACTGCTGCCCCGGGACGAGGTGTCAAAGTTCCCGGGATAATCCTGGTACATGATCCGCGGTGGGAGCCGGAGAGGAAACAGGGTGTTTTTCTTCCCCCGCCCTCGTCGCGGCTGCGCGCTCCCTCGCCCGCCGGCCGCGCGGGTCTCGCCTTCCCGCTCCGCCGGCTCCCCCACGGCACCGGACGCGGTGGGGAAAGGCAGCGAGCTCGGCCGCGGGAACAGTGCTTTCCCGGGCAGGCGCCTCGCGCTCAACTTCGCTGCTCGAGAAGCGCCGCGGGACCAGTTGTCCACGCAGTCCCTCCCTCGGAAAAAGTCCGTGCGTCCCTCGGTCCCTCCCCTGCGCACACTCCCGCCCCCGCCCGCAGCCGGAGCCCAGTCGGTACCCGCTTCCGAACCAAAAATTGGAAATTAAAAAAGACCAGGGGCCCAACGAACCCTACTGGACAGGTCTGGGGGCCCCAGATTTCAGCGAGAGCGAAAAAGGAAAGAGGGCGAGTAAAGCAGGGCTGTCCGCTGTGAAAAACTTCTGCTATTTCCTCCTTTGAGAAAAGGAGCCCGAGAATAAACTTCCTGTGGCTAGACTCGCCGCCCGAGTTGCGAAGCTACTCAGACTAGGAAAAGAACAGCCGCCGGCCCCGGCGCGCCAGCAGGAAAGCTGGTCCGTGGAACTGGAATGGAACCGCGATGCGCGCTGAAGCGACGCGGTCCGGGCTTCCCGCGCCGCAGCGCCAGTGCCCGGGACCTGCACTCCTTCCCGGCGCCCGCGCCTCGCCGTCAGCCCCGGGCTCTCTTTCTCTTTCTCTCTTTCCCGGCGGAGCGCCGCTCACTTGCTCTCTCGCTCGGAGCCCCTGAGCTCTGCCCGAGATGAGTCACTACAATGGCACGAGTTCAACTCCACACTCTTTATTATCCACCCCTGTACCATGTGGATTCACTCACGTCAACCCCAGACTCCACCTTGCAGGGAGGAGCGCACGAGGGGAGGCGGGGGTGAGGAGGATCAGGAGGAGGAAGAGAAGCGGGAGGAGGCGGGCAGAGTGCTCCCCACCCTGCTTGGGCGCCTGCCGCGCTGACGCCAACCGCACACTCGCGGGTGAGGAAGAAAGGGCTGGTGAGGTCTCGGGAGGGAGCCGGCCATGCGGTTCGGAGGAGTTCAGGCAGCCCTGTCCCTTCCACACTCTCTGCCCACCCCTCGGGCCCAGCGCCCTTGGTCTGTCCCATTGGCGCACGTTGCCAAAGATGGTCATTTGCGTTAGAGGACGTGAGTGCGGGTTTCCTCGCTTTCGGGTGACGTGGAGTGAGAGGAATTCCCTCGCCCGCTCCCGAGCGCGCAGCGCTAGTTCCCCTCTACCCCTGCCCTCCTGAGGAGGGGGCGCGGGGTAGAACCCCGGAGAGAGGCCGCGCCGGCCTCGGCTGAGTGTTTAGAAAAAATAATCACAGCCCTGAAGAGCTAGACGGGCGGTTAGTGAGGCGCCACCGCGAGGCCGAGAGCCGGGCGCGCACAGCCGCTCGCAGGAAGGGCGCGGCCGCGCGCGGTGGTTCGGCGCCCTTC